GTTGAAAATGAAAAAAATTAAAATCTTAGGTTTTGTGGTTGGTTTGTCACTGTAACTTTTTTTCTTTTTTTTTACCAATTTAGCATTGATTTTGCGTCAAAACGGACATTTTAACTAAAAGTGCTTTCAAAAAGTTTTACCAAATGGACTTTATTAGAAGTATTTTTTTCTTTAAAGTTAAAAAATCTCTATAATAAATAAAGGACTTTCGTTTGAGTTTTATAAATTTTCCCCACTTAATTCAAAAAACATAAGATTTGATCACTTTCATTTACATTTTAATTAAGACGTGGTCACTGAAGTTTAACGACCGTTAGACGTTTAAAGTTTGTTTACGTGGCAATATAAATATATAAAATTAAAATTATATCAGTTCACGTAGATAATACGTGAATTAAGTTTTACTCAATTTCCTTTCATATTTGTAAACTTTTTCTTATTAATTTTTTTTAAAAAAAATAAGTTTTGATCACTTTCGATATCATTTTATTAAGTATTGGTCACTTGAACGTTGAATATAGTTAGTTTGATGACGTCACCCGTTAATAATATGGTTTAATTTTTTAACCCCTACACGTTAGACAAAATACTGATTATGAGTCTTTTTGCAAATCTAAATTAATTTAGGGACAACATTTCAATTTATCCATTTTTTGTTAAGTTTTGGCCAACTTCATTATTGTCATCTTCTCCCTGTTTCTTCTTCAGAAATCTTTGCTCCATTGCTCTATTGTTACATTTCTCTTTTTTTTCAAGGATTCATGTTATATTTCAAGAATAATGCAATATTTTCAACTTCTAATAACAAATAATAATACCACATGTTCAGAGAAAAATGAAAAATAAACATCTAGAGATAAAATAAAGTTGGTAATCTCAGTTATACAAACTAAAATTCATTTTTCATAGATTTATATTGTCAAATGTCAAATCCAACAAGGAACAAAGAAGACATATCAATTGATCCAAATAATCTGATAACTGGATTGTGGTGATTTTCCTTTAAGAAAGTGCCTCCGATGAAACATAATCAATGGATCCAAACAACTCGATAACTAGATCTGTGAATTCATCCACTGAACTCAATCCAAAATCCATGATCTTCAATGTCGAATCTTTGTTTGTTCTAAAAAACAAGCAATTTTCTTATTTTATCTCCCTATGAACAATGTTCGCCTTATGAATCATCGTTAACCTCCGAGTACCTCATTTCCATGACAATCCGATCGAACAACTCACTGTAGGAACATAGCTCTAGTACTAAGTGAACATTGGTTTGATCTTCGTAAATGTCATAGAGGTCGATCAAACGTTCTCGAAGATCTTTTGCATCACAGGGATTTCGTTGGTCAACAATGCATCAGAGATGGAAACCTAGTAATGTGTCATCAATAACGCCGTCAATGAAGAAGCTCTAGTTTTCTCGACTCGAGATGGTAGCGTTGTGGTTATGGTGAATCGTTTCATAGTTTTAATGGTGAATTCTTTGCAGTTCTCACGATCTTCATTACTTCTTTTTATACCTTTTCTTATACCGTAGAACCCACTTAATTTGACTTCAAAATAATTACAAATAATAATTAGAAACAAGAAGGTATTGCAATGGAGCAAAGATGTATGAAAAAGAAGCGGAGAGAAGATAAACAATATTGGGGGTTAGGGAGAAAAAAATTAAAAAATATGTAAATTAAAATGTTGTCCCTAAATTAATTTGAATTTATAAAAATACCCATAATCAATATTTTCTCTAAAGTTTAGATGTTAAAATAAAAATTAAACTATTTTACTAATAGATTACGTCATCAAACTAACGACAATCAATATCCAAGTGACCAAAACTTAATAAAATGATAACGCAAGTGACCAAAACTTAATAAAACAATAATTTAAAATACCAAAACTTAAGTTTGTTGAATTTGACGAGCACAAGTGTAAAAATATGAAAGGAAAGTGACCAAAACTTAATCCATGTATTTTCTACTGGGAAATGATGTAATTTTAATTTTATATATTTATCGTTCTACATCAGCAAACTTTAAAGGTTTATCGATCGTTAACTTTCAATGATCACATCTTAATTAAAACGAAACGAAAAGTGACCAAATATTATATTTTTTGGAATTAAATAATGAAAAGTTTATAAAACTCAAACGATAATGATCAATTATATAATTTACCCTAAAATAAATATAGAAGATATATAAAAGAATACAGGTCCACATAATCAATATGTTATTACGGAATACAACTTTCAGAAGAAGGTCAAATAAGTTCTATTGACCCCTTCAGCTTTTTTAATTTAATTTTGGTCCCTTCAATTTTTCTTAATTTTATTTTTTTAATTTAATAAATTTTGAGTTCCGCCCTAAGCTTTTTATTTTGAACATAAAAAAAGTTAAGAAAAACATCAAAAAATACTTGTTTGATGTGCTTTTTATTTCGAACATAAAAAAGTTAAGAAAAACATCGCTAACACCTGCTTGATGTGCCCTTATTGGATGAATAAAATTTATTTCAACTTAAAAATATTTTTTAAAAATAAATTATTTCTATTTAGATTTTAATTTAGAGTTAAATTTTAATTTTAAATTTATAAAATTTGAATAATAAAGAATTAAAATTAAAACAATGTTATTTAGTTTTTAGTTAAATAATTTTTTTTTTAAATTGATCTTTGATCTTTTTTTAAATTTCTCTTTGGTCTTAAGTTCACCACATATTCCTCGACTATTATAAAACCAATTTCTTTTTCGACAATATTTTTTTTTCAATTTAATCAATAATTTTATATAATTTCTTTAATTATTCCTTAATCTATTTTTTGAGAAATCTTCCTTAATCTATTAATGTTAGTGATGTTGATTTCCTTTTAATAAAGGGAACAAGTAGAAAACAACAGTGAAGTACAAATAAAAAACATTAAGACTTGAGAAATGTAAAAGAAATTACAAAAAAAAAAACAAGTGGCAAGATTATGAGAAAAAGAAAAGTATAATATTGCAAACTGATGAGAACAAGAGTCACAAAATTATACAAGTCTTACAGACCATTGGTATTAGCGTTACAAAATAATAGTGTACCTCTCTGCTTTGCAGCACAGAACATGCGAGGAAGCTTAAAATAACACGTTTGGCTGGCTTATGGGGAAGAGATCCAACAGCTCATTTTTTAGATCTGAAACCTTATGATCCGAAGTGGCACTGCCACACATAATCTTCTCTTCTTGCCCTCCTACCTAATCAACTGTATCACACACGAGAAGTATTAAGAAAAAAGAGTATTATTATTTATTGGTCAATGATTAGTCATGTTGTCGTCTCCCTGTATATTAATTGTTTACGAATGATAATTGTACTGAGGATGAGTTTTAAGACAAGCAATGAGAACAAACACCAAACCCTTGCTCGACATGTGATCGGTCATCACGTGCGTGCGTTGCATTGAAACTTCTTGCTATTATATTTATTGGATTTGGACAGCAATTTTAATAATACCATTGATGCTAAAAGCAACTGAGATATATATGTCCTTGCCAGCAGTGTTTTAGTATGCTTTGAATTCGCATTATTCATTACACTTAAGACCCTGATGCTCTAAACCTAATGGTCAGTTGGCGAATTATTGAATTTCGATTATCGAAAACGATTGAAGAAGATTGCTTGAAAATGAGGCCTTGTGCTGAAAGCAGGCGTTAGTTGGCTACTACTTGCAGTAACAAGCAGAGGATTGACTCAGGTCATTTTTTTTTTTTACGTTTCATCGAATTTGAGGCGACTAGTAGTTTGGTGGAATGCTCCAACTGACGTTGATTTCTCATGCTCGCCTTTTTATTTTTCTGATATCGCAGTGGATTGGTGGTCACTCCGTTGCCAACGTCCTTCTCTGAAAGCAACAGCAACAGTTCCTTTTTTCACCGCTTCAGCTTTTATATGTGCATCACTAGAGTGGCGTTGGCTGAAGCGGTGGTTGAGGGTCCTTTTGGACGCCATGTTAAGTTAGTTGGATGGGGCTCCCACCACCATGTGCTAGCTTTAGTAGTTTTAAGAGTGATTGGACCATCTTGCATTTTGCAACTTACCACATTCATCTAAGCCTAAGGCCCTTTTCCTCTTACGTATCCCCCCTTCTTGTAAAAACATAATGACAAAAATATCCTAATGTTTAATTAAATAATAACCGACTTTTTTTTTTGAAGTATTTCGATCCATAACATTTTATTTTGTGATATAAGGCTCATTCACAAATGAAAATTATTAGTCAACAAACTGACAATGCTCTAAAATATGAGTTTTTTTAGTTTAAACTAAAATATTATGAGCCAAAATCCTCCAAAAACAAAGAATAAGAGCTAAAATGATTATTTGTTAAATATTTAAAAAAAAATTTACTTTAAAATAAAATGATGGAGACAAAATACTAAAAAGAAAAGAATAATGATTATTTAATCAAACGGTTAATTTTTTCTAACAATTACCCATATCTTTAAATCTAGAGTAAATTATATGGTTAATATCTAAACTATCAGTTTTTGTCTGTTTAGTACTTAAACTTTCATTTTTTTAAATAATATTAAATGTTTAATTTTTGTTTCATTTTAGCACTCTATCGTTAAAAACTTAACAGATAGACTGACGTAACATATCTCTGACGAACAGTAGATTATAACAGACTAACGAGTTGAATAACATAGTTCAATTTTAGACCCATCAAACGATGGACTATGAAGATATGAGGATGATGAAATCAGAATCATCGATCTAACACAAACCCAAATTTCTTTTTTAAAAACTTCAACACTATCAAATTGGATCGGTTTGTAACCGTCGACTCGGATTATCAGTCTTACGAATCATTTATTCATAGTCAATTTATAAAGTTATGTTATGGTACATGTATAGGAGTAATGGAGCCTTCGTCATCAATATCTCTCTCCGCCCCCAATCAAATATATTTAATGAAGCCCTCCCTGTCCCTTCTAATCTCTCTCTCTCTCCGCCTCCCTTCCTCTTTCTAACATAACACTAGAGCAATAAGGATAATCCATAAGCTTGCACTTCATTTTCCTTTTCTTTGAGACCGCAACTGGAGGCCATAATCATGCCAAACACCCTGGGCAAAAACCTCAATCTCTGCTTCAAAAGTATCAGATTCCCATTAGCCTCCCACCCTTCCTCTTCTCAGCCGCTAACCCCAGATGATAGCCGCCGTCTATTAACCTCCTCCACCACATCATCAGCCGTCTTCAAAAACTACAACTCCCTCTATGACAACACCTTCGACTACTCAACCTCCAAATCCCTAACCCACTCTTCATCTCTCTCCTTTGACCCAGACCCCGAACCCGACTTCGCCACCGTATTCGCTTCTCAGCGCTTCTTTTTCACTTCTCCCGGTAGCTCCAACTCCATCATTGAATCAACACCGTCGCCATCGACGGCCACTACGCCTGAATCATCGGATACTGCAGTATTAGCCGGCAGTTCCAGTCCCATCGATAGCGCAAATGAATCCTCCAACGACGACAGTTGCTGCGATCGACCGAGTCACGAACATATCCCCCAGACGACCGTCACAAACAGTGTCGCCGTCCCGACCGTCTCTCCCAACCCATTCACGGATTTCAGGAGATCCATGCAAGAAATGGTGGAGGCGCGTGACTTAATCGACGTCAAGGCTAACTGGGAATACTTGCATGAGCTTCTCTTGTGTTACCTTGCATTGAATCCCAAAAGCACACACAAGTTTATTATAGGAGCATTTGCCGATCTTCTTGTCAGCCTAATGGCGGTCGAGGGAGGCGGCAGTGGCAACGACGGAAATATCGCTGAGATTAGCGGCGGTAAGATTAATCCATAGCAGTGCATGTAAAAAAATATGCACCACCTATTGGCTGCCGATCAAAATGTTACTCTAGTTAATTAATATATACATGTGCAAGGAAACTCAAAAAGTTGGTCCCATTGTTTTTTTCTTTATTTTTTGTCTTATATGCTTGTGCAATTATATTGCCTTATCTTTTAAGCTGCCTTCCTCTGTGACGTTGCAAGTTATGACATGTTACAACATAACACCTTCTAAAACTCACTAGAATGTGCTAGTGTAAAGCTGTTGTTTGGAATTGTGCTCTCAGATGCAGGAGGCTTGTCTTTGTTTGCATTGAAACCAATTTGTGAAGCGACTCTCTCACTACTCAATTGTTTTAGGGGTTAATATTATTTTTTTAGAGGTATTACCTTTTGATATTTTTTTTATATAAAAATTAATTTATGGTAGAGAATACAAATTTACATAATAAATAAAGTATATATTTTTTAAAATGTGATTGTATTCCAGCACCACTAGATTAATCCTTGGTTGAATTGATACATTAATGCATTACTTTGCATACGTGTTGCAAATTGCGGAATTGTTTATGGGATGGTCGCTAGCTACACCCAAATTTGTTGCTTATATTCTGCCTGCGGTGTTAGCATCATCCATCCTCTGCCTCTTCTCATTAAATCTGATTACCATGTTCTTCAGTAAATATATGAATGGCATTTGTCTTTTACTTGCACGCTCAGTCGTTTCTCTCGATGTAACATTATTATATTAACAAAATAGGATTAAAAATATTGAACTCCATGTGGGCTTGGAATCGGCAACCATTGGTGGTGATTCTCTAAGCACAAAAAGTCATAAATGGATAGCGATGGACCGACGCAGAAGCAAACAGATACATATTTGTCCTTTTCACAGTTCTGACTAAAACAAAAACCATAATGCAATTAACTACTTTCCAAGATCCGGCCTAAGACAAATCCCCGGATTGAAATGAAATCTAGTTGGAATTCAGTACAAAACTACCCGCGGAATCTTGAATTCTGTCCTTAATTTCCTTTATTTAATTTAATTAATTAATTCTTTTCAAACCTATTGGTCATAAATTTCTACAAAATTAAAATTATTGGAATTATTAATGTTTGCATAGAGCATTGGTCCATTTGATAATTGCTCTGAATTAAAGAGTGATCACATCTCTAGGGACAGGGAAGTCCCGCTCGTAGCCATAATTATTGGTTCTGTCATCGAACCGATTGAATTACATACACTGACAAATCAATCTTTGATTTGATTTCTATACAATCTTGCTCTTCTCTTTCTAATGATAAATACCAACGCTTTAAATGGCACTCGATTTTTTGTAACAAGGCATACCCATTAAAACAGCTAAAGGTCTTGGTGCTGGGCTTCTAGATTGGGCACCCTTTTATGAATGGCCTAATCTTGGTCCTTGAAGCGAATTAGTGGGGTCTTCTTCGTAATGCTAGTCCAGGTTTCCAAACATTTGTGAATTTCTACAAAATTATCAACATTCAGATTCAGGGGCTAATTCGTAATAATGATAAAATGAAGTCTACCCTATTAAAATAAGAAAATCTGATTTGGTAACAAATGTTATTTTTATATAGTAATCTCTAAAGTTAATTTATTGATTAATTAATTTAAATCAAATAATCTAAAATTATTTTTAAAAAATTTATAATTACTAAATAACAGTAAGTGAACCTTCTAATTAAAATAGGACCCATCTTCTGTTAAATTATAATTCAAAAAGACAATAATAATAAAGTGAAGTCACTCATAGTCCCTTGCAGTTGTGAAAAATGATCTGTCGAGAAATGGACCCGCCAGGCGCCGGATAGGGATGAAGCTATAAAACCTTTGTATGCAATTAGAATTGAAATTTAAGTTTTAGGGTTAAAAGTGCAATTTCATCATTGTATAACTTACAGTTTGGTAAGTTTTAAAGGGACTAAAGCACAATTCTACCCTCTACCTGCCCCAGTGCAGCCCACGCGACACTATAAACTTGATGAGTCGAAGACTTGTTGAAGAAAATAAAGACAGCATATGCTACTTGACAAAAGAAAAAAGTAGTTGTTGGCCCCATAATCGTGTTCAGAAAAAAGACCAAACAGCTGCTTTAGCTATCATAATTGTCATTAGTTTGCCGTAAACATCATCTACAATATGCATGGTTTTACGAGTGCCGTAATCGAACGATATGAATTCTTCTCCAAAGCAAGCCAGTCAAGGGGGGAAAACCCTACATGTGACATGCATATGTTGATAGTTATGAGCATAGGAAGGGAGATATGGGCCATGCACTTAGATGATTTGGAGCTTTCAGCACATGGGAATGAGGTTTGGTTGATAAAATATAAAACACACAAATGTGTAAGAGATTTTAGCTTCTTCTTTTGTCAATCTGTTAATAATTTGGTCAACAAAAATGATATAATTGCACTAGTTAAAGTGAAATATGGACTTGTAGAAGTCTCTTATTGAAAATGGGAGAGAAACATACAAGCACAGAGGGATCCGGCTCGGATTAAATTTCCGTAAATTACATCAAATTAATTCATGTTTACATAAATGGTTAACTAGCCTACGGGGTTCTGATTTACATAACTAAAGTAATAAAAAATTGTCGAACATGTAAGTTTTTTCAATTGTGTTCAGGGTACATTTAATTTACGAAATGTAAGATTATTCATAAGAATAAGTTTGTCAGACTATATCGAGTTTGAGTATTTTGATCATCCAAACTTGAACCATATTAATTCTAGCTTAAAGTTTACATATTCAAACAATATAGGCCTCATTTTTTTCCTTTTGAAAAGTCTTAGGTGATTGTAAAGTAATATATGTTCAGAAATTTTCTTAACTTATTAACAACACATGTCATATAAATGTAATTTTTCGAAATCATATCCTCTAAAAATAATATTTCTATTATCATTGAGATCAGTACATCAGTAGACATGATCTTAGAGACTACTACTAATCAGGGGTGTCAGTTAACATTACATTACTCAGAACTGAGATAAATGCTTTCCTTATCCAACATAACTGAACTTTGCAGGTTATAAGTGCAACAAATGAGGTTGATTGTATCGACAGAGATGAATTGCCGAAATTCTCGACTTAAATGTGATCCTGAGGATGAAGACGCAGAGGGTTGGGCTTTAAATTCTCAATTTGCTCTTTCCTCTGCCCATTTCATTATTGTGCTGCTGGTCTTCAATGTGCTTCTGGTGCTGCAATCTCGTTTATGCCTTTGTATTGCCCTTTCTAGTGCATCGGTACGTGTTTAGCAATTGTGGTTTACCGACAAAGTTTTGAGCTTTTCATAAATTCAAGAAAGAAGATGGAGATCAATTAGCGTAGGCACTCTATACAGAAAAGGACAATTAGTTTGATGATGAAAATATAATTTTATTAATAGTTTAACGACTGTGAGTGTAATTTATCCTAAATCCAACGTGAAGTAATGTTTGTCATTGAAAGGCAAAAGAAACGTATCGGGATCAAACAAATTAAAAGCCGGCGTGAGAAATGAGGGGTTTGCATATGGAAAAGAGGGCTTTTAATGCAACTTGGTTCACACTCTACCGCTACCCAACACACTGCTTCGCTTTGATTGTCAGTCAACCGCCCAATATGCAATTATCTCAATTCAATGCTTTAACCACTTCAATTCTCTATTTAATGCTCTTATGGCTAAGTGTTGAAAAACCATCAATACTTCACTCTTTTGGGCTCCCTTTTTTCCTTTGCTTGTGCCACCATAAACCTATTCTCCTCCTCCCATGAGTGTGAGTCAGCACGCCAAGCATCATATATGCTAATTAAACATGCTAGTAAGGAAAAAAAGGAAAGCAAATGATGAAAAAGCTCATCGATTGTAGAAGGAAAAAAACAAATATATTTTATTGAGTTTAATTCGATCGATAACGTTGTGGTACATATAGAAGACATAAACTCAAGTCTAATTAATTGATAACGTGGAGCAAAGTGGTGGAAAGCTTAGGTTCTCGTCCCTCTGCTACTGCACTCTCAATCATGAGGACTGTTAGAGATCTCATGAACCGCCCATGGAGAGTTATGGCGCGGTCCATACCATGCGAAGCCAACAGGCTGATAGCCTGGCCAAAATTGGCCGGGGGCGCAATCCAAGGCGAATGGTGCAAGGCCAACCCCCTGCTGAAGCCGTGAACATCCTTAAAAAGACCAAATCGAGCTGAGAAGAAGGCATCCCCACTGAGCTCAGTGTTTTCTTTACCAAAAAAATATTTATCTATTTAAGTGTGAAAAGGCTTGGATAGTTTAAGTATTGTAACACATCCAACTCAATCTGAACAATTCAAATAATTCAAGATGTCACATTGAGTTATGAAAATGACTCACAAATTTAAAAACGATTCATACTTTCATAATTATCAAATTAATTTCAATAACAAATCTAATCGAGGTCAAGATCATAAATTAAAAATATTTAAATCAAAATCAAAACATCCTTACTCATAAATCAAATATAAAAAATTGTAATTCAAATGAATTATAAATTAGAGTCATTAAAGTTTCATATTACACATACCCACTAAATAAATGATTATTGTATTTTAAATAAATTACTTAAAACCTCTTTCGATAATATTATTGTTTCATCATAAATTATAAATAACTATTAACGTAGACACAAAATCATTTTTTTAGATATTAAACTTTTAAAGTAAATAATATATTTATTTATTTTATTATATTCTGTGAGATTTATAAATATAAGTATATAATTCACAATACAACAAGAAGATCTGATGAATAATTTTTACATTACACAAGGCCGGATGCAGCCAGGCTGCAACGCTTATGAAACCATAAGTCTCATAATTGAAAGCAATGATGCTAATCCATTCTCATTGAATGCACAACAACATTACTACATATCTTTATTTATTATTACTGTTATTTTAAAAAAAAGGTCTTTTATAATGTCCCACTGTATAAATAGTGTTCATTCTTATCTAAGATGACAAAGAAGGTGTACTAACGGAGAGTTCTGTAGTGCGGCGCCTAAAAAACGGCGTGATCGATTAAATAAGTGACTGGTTAAAATTTAGGTCA